TATAGCATACCGCCGCACAAACTTAATATAACTTTGTACCACAAGTGGTGTTGTGTATAAAACAATATAAAAATAGTATATAAAATTTTCCTTTTATATGTACTTAACATTTACCTGCAGAACACATATACATAATAAAAACCATGGTACTTTCCAAATTCGTTTAGTGTTCATTAAGTTTCTAGTAGAGATATTTTTACGAACTTTTACATCTTCAGCGGCGTTAAGGTTGTTGTTAAGGTTGTTTAAAAGCAAAAGATTTGCATCCGTAGCGAAAGCGTTATTATTAACTTTCATCGCACAATCATTTAGAGGATGTTCTTGAAAGTTTGTACAAGTTGGTTTCGGATTGTGAAGCATAATTTGCGTTACTTTTATTGTTTGCTTATTTGCTTATTGATATTATTACGTTTATAATGTTTTAATTGTTTCATTCATATTCAACAATTGATCAAAAATTGCTATCATTTATGCAAATAAGATAATTAATAATTATTTTCAAAATATTGTTCACATGGATTTAAGATTTTTTCTCTGTTTTTTTTTTATTTTTTTTTTTAATTACATTACGATTAACTAAACTACCGCTTGGTGTATTAACACTGAACGTGTAACGATCGACTGCTACGAAATTTATTGATCTGCAAAAATTTCTGCCTTTGTTTCGTGCGTTATTTATTGTTTAAAAATATTTGCAATAGCAAAACCACGTTGTGGTATTGATTATTAAGATGTATATGCGTGTGTGTTTATGTATGGATTTGTATGCGTTTGTCTGACTGCGTCTGTGTAATTATCAAGTAATAAAGGTTTTGAAAATGATTGCGTATGAATCATAAAATTATTTTAGTTTTTCAAAAAAAAAAAAATTATTTAAAAATTAATTGTGAAAAAAGTTAATACCAGTATGAGATGAGATTTTGTAGCATGATTCTGGGCTTAAAGTTAAAAGCTCGCAATATATATATTTAATATACCTATTGTTTATTACGCGTTTGCGAAAATTTTGATCAACGACTTCTACAGTTAAAAATTATAAACAAATGAGAAATACTAGTGTACATAACGGTTGAATTCAATTGTTTTGACCTTCCTCTATATAAAATAACAATTTTTCATTAATATTAGTGATTTATTCAGCGTAGGCCGACGTTAATCATGGAGCGCTCAAAGTTCTTCTTGTTCCAAATTCATTGCTTGTGTTGTTTATTTTACGAAATCTTGGGTCGAAGCTCACCAAACACATTCAGACGCTTACGATGATGCTGCTCCATCATATTCCAATTGCCAGTTTTAGTTTCAAGGGTTAAAAAGTGACGACACGGATTCGCTAAAAATGCAATTCTTTCACTTGTTGCAAGAGTTGTCCAGGTTGCACTGTTGCAGCTCGAATGGGAAGTTCTGTCATAGCCAGCATACTTGCCAGATATGGCGGCTCCTGGTTACAACTTGTTCAGAGCGGTAGAGCATGGCTTGGCTGACAAGCTGTTTCGAAATGCTGAAGAAGTCCGAAAATGAATCGGTGGGTAAATCGCTGCCAAACCAATATAATTAAAGTTCCTTCGGCATAATATCGTCATGTTGCCAAGAGCATTCTTTGTAAAATGTTATAGAAAATGATGGCGACTATTTTGTTTAATTTATATTGTACTAATTTTCCACAGTAAATGACTTTTTCAAGTGAAAACGTGATCAAAATTTTTATAAACACTTCACTCAATTAGTTCATAGGATGATAGACATGGGTTCTATGAGCGTTGGATTGAATCATTGTCACAATAAACTTCGCATTCCGGAAAACGCAATATTTAAGATATTGCGTAATATTTAAAAAAAACTATTTCTATCTATTAATGTCTGTCAGGTATATCACATACACTGTCCATTATGTTCACGCCGATTTATCACTTCGTAGAATCAAGTCACGTCTTTAAGTCATATGATGATAAGTTTAATAAAAAAGCTTTTAATTAAATCAAAAATTTCATAAAATTCTTCATTGAGTAAGCCTAACTATGCGCTTTATCAGCCAACGCAGTTAACGAAGATTGCTTGAAAGGAAACAATAAAATATCATAAAACTTTTTGCGACAGCAGCTGCAAGTAATGTACTCCACATATGTTATCGTATACGTACGAAAAGTTATTTTTATTAACTTACTACACTTGCTACTAATCTACATTAATGTGTGTATGTATATGTGTTTTGGAATTTCAAACTGACTTGTACTCGCCAACTAATAACGCTTTGTCTTTAATAAGACAATAAAGCAACGGAATCATGTACACACAGGCTTCTTAAGTTAAGATCTTAGTTAACATGGAACACTTGCGATGTAAATAAAAACCGTCTGCAATGTTTTGCAAAGAATATCTCATTAAATATTTCTTCATGTAAACCTCTATGTAAATCTTGTTGTTGAATTTACTTCCTCTTGTAATAATTGCCTTATATTAAACAAAATTTCAAAAATCTTTCTTTCGTTTTGATGTAATAATCGATCGAAGAAAAATCAAATCAAATACAAATTTCTTACATACTTGTGCGGAATTTTATGACTATACTTTAGAAAAAAACAAAATCTTAATGTACCATAATTTCTTGTGTCAAACATAGCGATAGACGATAAGCAATAAGGACTCTTATATGGAGAAACAGGAAACGAAACTTGGAATTTAATTGCGGAAAATTGGAAATAGTCAAAAGTTTCCGGAGCAAGCAAAACAATAAATATGTTCAGGCATGGAAAATATTGAAAGTAAAATGTGAACGAATCATGGTGAGATACATAATAAAAAGGAATGCATTTCGAACGGATGTTCAATGTAATAAAAATAAGTGAATGATTACAGTGGGATTGTAAAGCGATATTATGGTATAGAATGGCATTTTTGATGTAAAAAGAGTTCATTTAAACTTGGACGCTTCACTCTCAAAATCCATCTGATTCTTTTCAAATATCAGCTATTCTGCGTATTTCCATGACCGAACGAGGGGCATTTTTCTAGTTGAATTTTAATGCTCCATTGGAAGCTTTTCGAAGGATAAGAGTATGAAGAAAAAGGCAGGGGGAGGGGTGCACGAACATGCTTAAACCAATTCAGAATCCTAAACTTTAAAAAGCATGTAATATATTGTTCAAGAATTTCCGGGGCTAAGTAAAAAAATTCAATTTTCCATTTAGCAAAATGCGATCTTATTTCTCAACGTAGAGGGATGCAATTACCCCAAAACTTTGTTAGCATTGCTATGTTATTTTCATGGAGAAGTTTATCAAAGCACCTAAGATAAGCTCAAGTTTCCTCAATGACCTCATATAGAGGCTTTTGCTCCAAATGATTTTTCTTAAAGCGATCTTTGTGAACGGATAGTGGTGGCTGGTGAACAGATCTGCATTATGCGGTTCAAACAATTTCGCGATCGTGACATGGTGCATTTGTTGCGCCGAGAGGAAACGCTACCCAAATCAACACGTGAAAACTTTCGTGCAAAAGGTTGAATATATACCACCTTTCGATAACTTGACGACGTCAGCTATCTTTTGTAACTTCTGTATTGGATTCTTAAGAATAACTTTTAGGATTGCGGTATAACGAGCTGTTTTGATCGTTCATGGGATTCCGTTTAAAATCAGCAAACCTCACACAAATTGTTACTTTTAACGCAGAAGACCTGTCATCATATTTTTCAAGCCAATGCTTGGTTGAAACGCTATTTTTGTTTATTAATCAGCAATGTTCACTAAACGTACGGAATTCGGATTTCTCCAGAGTTTTAAATGTAAGAAACGTAGCGTTACTTACACTAATACAATTTATAATCGCATGGGCGAAATGATAGGAAATTTCGCTAGAAGCCCACTGAAGATAGGCAGTTTCTTATGGTAATGTGCTTACTATGCCCATTCTTTCTCCCAATCGCATCGGGTGTTTGTTGCACTTTATAACTTATCCCGTTGTTCATCATCGGTCACAAATCACCGGCAAGAATTATGTAATGTAGGCTGTAGAAGACTAACTTATGCTAGGGCACAATGTTCAACGACAGCACTCTTCCACACAGTAGTCACAGCATAATTCGGCATCATGTGGATCTAGTTACATCCTCTCTTGAAGTACAGCAAGAACTTAGACAACGATTTTTAGTTTCTTCCAAAAGATCCTGAGTTGTGTGAATAGTTGGTACTCGAATGCACATTCGCTAGATTTTATAAAAGGAAAGTTGATTGAAGGGCAGACAAAAACATTGAATTTTATATCGTTTAATAAAACCTGCGAGTTAATGACTCTAGAAATGTTTTTGGAAAATTTTTAAATCTCAACACTTTTTAAATCAATATCTGTAGCAATTTACTACTCATTATTTGTCTACTTGGGTCTTGTTGGAAAGCTTTTCTTTTTTTTTTTTTGGTTCCATATGAGAACATTGTGCATAGAGATATACTATTCATGCACAACATTCTGATGTTGCTTTCGTCGGATCGAAATCTATTTCATTTCATTCCATCTGACGGCAGCAACTTTGTCAAAACTTGAAAACCATGTTATACTACGAAAAACATCTTGATAAACTCTATGACCGATTTATGGTTCTCAATACCGAGCAAAGTAGATCAAGTCAATTCGATAGGTGTGAATTATGGGCTCGCTGTCACGAGTCGAAAGTTAACAGCTGCCGATTAAAAATATGCATTTTTCTTACTGGCGAATGACAATTGCTATCGAGTAAAATATTTAAATTATGATCGAGAACCATCGGACAGCATTTTGTTTCATTTCCGTAGATCGACAAAGTAACGATATATAAAAATGATTTTAAAATACTGTTACTTTTTTCGCATGTTTAAACACCGTTTAATACACTGTACTAACATTTATTGACACAACTACGATGACGAAGTCTAAAGCGAAGAAGGAAATCAAAATGCAATAATTCTATGAAATTGTATTCAATTATGGTTTCTTAACAGGCAGGAAACTCTTGGAAATTCTCGTTGATTTTATAGTAAACCTTCGGTTTGAAGTATAGAACTAATGTCAACTTGCAGGAGCACAATCAAATAAGACGTTGCTGCGCTAATCATCTGCAAGTATAAAAAGTGGTAAAGTAATAACCAAGAATTCCGTTTTTTTTTTTTTCCTGTTTTTTTCTTCTCACCGTAAATATTAAAGTGTAATCCAAGGGAAACAAACCAATGGCATTATACTGAAAGTATTCTTTCCAGTGTAAGGATTGCAGCAAAAATGACTTCATTTCGTTGTAGTTACCATCAGCGCCGAGCATAAAGGCCGGTCGTTTTCGCATTATCTCTTGAACAATCACAGCGGTTTGTTTAGCTTCGCCGCTGGCATTGCAGCATAAACATAAAACTATATAGGTCACCAACATGGTAACGAAACTCCATAACAAATACATGAAAACGATGTAGTCAAGTAAACGACTCTTACCACCCACCACATGATAGATCTTGATTTGAAAGAAAATGCAAAAAATTGTAATGACAAAGCTTGCACTCATATATGGAACACAATGTGGACCGTACTCGTTGTTGGTGAGGACACTTAACGAAAGTACGCTATCAAACAATTTAAACAATTTAGTGAGTGAAGCAGTTGTGGCATAACTGCAACAATATAAAGCACATATGAGAATAGATCAAAGAAATAATTATGCTGAAATTCTACCACTTCGTTCTTGACTCTAAAGATTGCATAGAATCGTCATTATAATCATTCTCCTCACTACGATGAGTAGTTTGCTTCACATGTCGTTCATTTAATTGCACATTTTCGCTTGAAGCAATTTGCAATTCAGTTTCGATATTGAATATCTCTAGTGTGATGCCCTTAGGGGTTTTATTAATGCCTCGATTGATTTGCTCCAAAAAGTGATTTATTGTTTGGTGACGTTTAGAAATCTCATAAACATAATAAGCAAATTGTAACAACATAACAGTGGCTGCTGAATAGGGATAAGTTGTAACCATTAAAGGTATGAAAAACCATTGACCATAAAAACTGTAATTAAAATAAATTTCATTATAAGAGCTCTTCACAAACTCCATACATACTATGTTAACTGTCTGACTTCATAAATTAGCAACATTATTAAGCCAAAAGTTATGATAATCTTGTACAAAAAATAAAAACTTTCATCCTTATTCATGCTCATTTCTCCTCTTTCGTCTAGTTGGCATGTTTCCAGACTTTTATCGATATTAATAAGGGTTTGTTCAAATTTTTTGCAAAATTTTTTCCGACATTTCATTGCTAATAATTGTGTTGTTAAGTATAATAAACAACCAAGATGTAAAAATAATTGATTTCCCAGACGACAGAAACCATTACAATCAGGCAACTGATAAATGCCAAAGAAGCCAAAATTAATTAAAGCATAACAGGTTAGATAAAAAAATAACATAATCAGCATTTGACCATAATCGAGAATAGTGCAGCAAGAGGAGCTTGTGTTGATATTCCAAGGTGAAACGCCATAAATCTGGAAAATCGCAATTTTATACAAAAAATATGTTCTTTCAAATTTAATTAATTGATTGTTTTTCATTCTTACCCACGACAGTGTCAATAGTCCTTTATCCATTTTTTTTTTTTTTTTTATGTCGGTTTTTGATATACGTATGCGAACATTAATTAATTCATGACATACTGCTGATGGAAGAGTTGAGCTGCTTATGTGGCCATAAAGCATGTCTCAGTTAAGAACTTCCACTTGCGATCTTATCTCAATTTTTTCCATCTACAATAGGAAGCAATTCATTTATTAAAACCATTAATACTTTCAATTATTTATAATTGTTTTGCGAAAGCGAACACGTTTTTGTTAATTAATAACGGCAAAGGCCATCTGTTCAAGTCATGAAGACACGAAAGCATTCACAAAAGCGTGTTCAAATAATGCTTCGAGAAAATACAAGTCTTTGAATTTTTCAGAAAACCTTTCCGATTTTTTACGGTAATCAAAACCTAAAGATTACCATGGGTCTCAAAGAGCCGATTCCGACTCCGTTCCTCATATATTTAAAAAAAGAATTCTATATACATCCTGAAGGTAATTGACATACGCAACCTTTATAGAGTTTGTATAGTGTATTGCGCGGTATTGCGCAACCAAACAATTTCCTCGCCAAAGACGAAATGCTAGCAATAAAACCTAACTCAACTCAACCAGAAATTTTTTACCTTGAGAACGTATATGAGAAAAGTTGCTAGGGAAATATCACCAGCACTGAATTGGAATATGTTGCCCTTGCTGTAGTCTCTAAACTGCGCAGAACTCTTTCCGATTAAAATTAATCTTAATGTGTCATTTCTTAACTGTTCGACTAGTGTTTTCATTGTCCTAAAATGAACTTAGATTCAGTAGATTTGTTCTTATGGTATCCATATTCTGCATAAAAAAAAGAAAAAAGTTTTGACTAGCGGTTGACAATATTGGGCGCGTAACTAAGTTTTTAGTTTTTTCTTTTGCCCAATTAAAAATTGACCATTTCAAGGAAATTGTTTATTTAACATGCAATGAGGGAAATGGTGCATGCGGGCATCCATCTCTTTACTGAACAACAGCTTATTCCACGCGAACGTCAATATCTAAGTTATATCAAAATGAAATTTCGGAAAAATTGAACTTATTTCTACAAGCAATAACACGTAATTCCGAGGATTTTAGAAAACAATTTTTAAAAGTTGCTTTGAAAAACTCTTTAAAATGGTTTTTAGTAATCAGAGAGATTTTTAATTTAGTTTCATTTTTACTCATTATATTATAAAGATTACAATAAATTTGCATTTAAAGATTTTGCAGAAGAATAAAGGACTTTAAACATTTCCGCAAAGCTTACGTTAAAGGGACGAAAGCCAATGTACGAAAAGGTTCAAGCAGAAAAATATGCGGCAACTCTTTCATAAAATGCCGCCTTAAAGTTGTTAAGACACTACAGGTGTTTGCAAAAGCTTTTATGCTATGGTGGAAAGGAGCATAGAGAAAGAAAGAGATTCAGGAAATGAGAGCCCAAAAGTGGTGAATATATAAACATCGCGTCTTAGGCATATTAAATAATCATAAAAGATAAAACAACAACTTGTACGAGTTGTTTGCGTATCAGGATATGATAGTCAAAAGCTCAAAGCAGAATGATGAAACGGAAAGGGTTGAAAGCGAAGAGATAAAGTCGCGCATCAGTTATCTTACATTAAAGTGCATTTACAATATTTTTTTTATCATTGTTTTCATTAATTACTATTATAAGATTATTATCAAAATTATTACGTGGGTAACTCTCAAAATTAGGACAAAACATATCAACCCATCATGATCAGACAAGGCAAACTATATCCTATCATGCTTCGTCTCCAATGCAATTCTTCATATATTTTCGTAAGAAAATAGCAAAAATTACGCCTTGTTTTCATGTGGAAGCATACTTTTCATGGGGGTCTTGATAGTCCAAAAGCCCTACATCGTTTTATTTCAGAAAATTCAATATTAATTTTAAGGGACTTTCTGCGTCTTCACCTATTTTTAAATTATAGTACTAAAAAGAAGACTTTATTGGAGAAAATACTTGGCCCAAATTTGGTTGGTAGTTTAGTTTTAGGAAGAAATTTGCTTTAGAAAAAATCTCAAAAGTTAGACGTATTTACCAAATAAAAACTTACTCAGGAAATGTCCTCTGTCCTCTATCACGTAACGCGTGAGAAAAGAGAAAGAAAGAAAGGAATAGGAAAGTGGTGGGCGTAGCCCTTGAATGTGTGAACCTTTGATAAGTGTTATGCCTTTACTCCATAGCTATGACTAAAGTAAACTCCACTACCGCTCTGAGAATTAAATCCGCAAACACTGTCTTGGCAACCGCTCCTCCTCTTACCTAACTCGGCTACTCATGCGGGCATCATTTCAATATGTTGAGATACTATTACTCAAAGATGTTTGTCGCGTAATTTTGAAAATTACAAAATTTTTCATATGCAAACTTTTTCAAAGGAAGCCGTTATATGGGGAGTCGTCATAAGAATGGTTGGATTCAATAAAGTCCATTTATGGGCAACACCTACCTACATATCAAATTTTGTCAAAATATTTTAAAAAATTCTCGGTAAACGCAAAAATATCTGGGCGGACGGACAGACAAGTTTAAGTTCGGAAAATGATTCGAACGAGCGATGTAATCAACGATGCATCCATCTTAATTCTTTATGGAAATAAACTTAATGTAACCTGTGCAAGAAGTAATGTAGGACATAAAATAGAAGGATCTTTAGGCGATTGTCGTGTGTTTGTCAATATAATTGTCAAAATTGTCAAAAAAGCGATAAAACGCTTGTATAAATTGGATTTAATTGAACATATAAATGGAAATCTCCATTTATTTGAGATCTCTCAAGTTTTGGTTGATTTGAGAGTTTGTTTTCCAAGTGACTCAAAACTACAGTAATATTTAATTTTGTAAAAGTTCTCACCACAAAAAGAGTTTTCTTCTCTTTAGCAGAAAACTTGAGCAAAGTATTCTTCTTCTGTCAGAGGAGCATTATTTAAACACAAAATTTCACAAGATTGTGATCTCATTTGAAATGAATATTTCTGCTCAATAATATAGGTTTCCATAGGCGCAAAATTGTAGAAGCATCCTTTGAAGAATTTAAATATACTCCTTTTATGCACTGGCCATCAAGAGGACGAACTAAACAAACTAACATTCTCGTGTATAGCATAACATCTCCCAAAGTGAGAGATGAGCAACTAAGAGAATTTATGCGTGTGCGTTGAACTGTATGTTCAATTAATGCACCGAAGGATTTCATAGACACTATCTAAGTTGAAAGGTATGCGTATACCATAAGTGAATAGTTGAACTTTTAGCCCTATGTAAATAAAACCTTTGCCGAACTGTCCAAAAGCGAAATATATTTAAGTTAACTGGACAATTAGCAATCAGTTCGTTCAGTTCGTGGTGGAATTTCAATAACAGCAGACGTAGTTGCGGATTAAATGGATAGGAAAGATACAACTTGTCCGTAGCAAGAAAACAACAACAATAATAATAATAATAATAATAATAACAATACACACAAATGCTAGAATGTAAAGTGAAAGTTGAAGGTATAAGAAACGTTATGTGATTGTAAGGATTTTGATATTTAATATAAAAACAAAAAAAAAAAAACAGAAATAAATAAAAAGAATAAAAACATTATTTGAAATTCTTTCTTTCTTTTTTTTTTTTTTATTATAAAATTGATATAAAAATTCGTTTAAGGAAAAGTATATTAAAAAAGTACATAAAAAGTTATGAAAGTCATATGACGAGTGAAGTGTTTGACCATTCATTCAATTACTAATCGAATGAGAAAAGCATTAAATGATTGAAGGCATACCAGACAGTAGTACACAATATATTGACTTAAGTATATATGTGCGCTCATTTCACCGCCAAACCACCCACATATTATATCAGTACGAAATGGAACGAGTAAAACAAATCGAGTCCTTGAAATGAAAAAAAAAAAACACGAAATAAATACTTTCAATGAAATTATTCGGACTGGCGATGCACTACTGAGAAATAAATTAAAAAAAATTCCTTTATTTTTTGTTCATTAAGTCTGATTAAAATTAAAAGGGAAATCAATTTTTTTTTTTTGTGTTTTGGAAAAACCTCCCAAAATGTTCTACATGAAATTGTTATGCAAACATGCAAATGATAAGACGCGGAAGAGAAGAGGGATAGCGTATGCCGAAGATTGAAACAAGTGCAGCAACATGATTCACGGTAAAAATATATGAAGCGTTCATATCATAGAAGAAAAGAAATTGAAAAGAAAACATAAATAAAACACGCTTGTATGTGTGCCTCCACGAGAAGGTAAAATTCGTAATAAAACGTTGAATAGAGAAAGAAAAGATATTTAAAAACAAGACATCAGTAGCAACGGGAAAACAATAATAACAACAAATATGCACAGAGATGCACACATGTTTATTTCTTATAGGTTGGGAACTCATTCATACGGAGGGAGCTCGTGTTTCATAATTTGCTTTTTCTTCTTTTTTCTTTAATTTCTTTTCATTACAGGTTGCTGTTGGTAATGAAAATTTCCTTTCCTTTAATTTTTTTTTTTTTTTTTTTTTTTTTTTTTTTTTTTTATGTAAGCCATATACGTAATCGTTTTGCGTGTTCAACTAAATATTTAAGCGATCAATTTAACGTATATTCACTTATGTGTTTTACATAGGGTTTGTTTTAAAATAGTACTAACACAACCACTCACTATTTTGACTGTTTGTTGCTTTAGCTTTTCTTCTTAATGCGAAAATTAATTGTCTGTAAAATCGGGTTTTCATTTTCAATTTTATTTCTTAATCTCTTAATTCTTTCACACTTGATGATGTTAGCTTACAGAGGATATTCGATTATAACTGCGTATTTTTCGCAACATTTTTATTGCTATGAAATAAACTTTAGGAATTTTCATCTTAAAATTACCATTATATTTGGCTTTTAACGACCGTTTAGCGTTAACTAATAAAGATTTAACTTGGCTTAGCAACCATTTAGCATTAACTAATTAGGCTTTAATAGCATTCATAAAAAGTGCTACGAAGATTGTTGCGTTCACTTTAAGACAAACATTGATTACTCAAAATCTCAAGCAGATATTTACACCAGACACACATTATATTCGATAGGGGCAGGATTCCCACTGCTACTGTCAAGAGAAAAATGATCGATAAAATTAACTCTATGGCATATATGTACATTACGTCGCTCAATAAAACTCCAATCTGTCACATATGTGGCAACACTGTTAATAGACGCTTATGATTTTTAGATAGTACTGAATGGTACAAAGCTGCAGAAATAATGTCATTCCCGGGAGAGGCTTACTTGATAAATTCCGTTTCTTAATAATGATTTTTTATATGGCCGCAATATTTCCTCTTATTATGCCTTAAAAGAGAATATTTTGGAGGTGTAGGCAGGTTTAAGGTAACAGTCAATTCAACCGATTTAAAATTGTCTGAGAAAATATGTTATATGTTTTCGGCCAAGTTTTAAAAAGAATGAAATTGGATTACTTTTACACTCGCCCTACATATAACGCACATTTATAAAAAACTCGTCGTAAGAAAAAAATTTGCAAATTTTAATATCAATGAAGAAGTGAATCTTTTGATAGGTTTAATCAATTTGACAAATTTGATTGAAAGAAGCTTTTACAATATAATGATAATCAGATTTCTTTTTTAATCTTTTCTGTTAAAAATTTGTTCATAATAGGTTTTTAATATAGACATTTGCTATGCTCAACTTGGACCGAAATTGATATATTTTTCGGACCACTTTCCATAGGCTGACACATAGCCGAGTAGATAAGAATCGCGTCTACCTAATCCGCGTTAACGGGTTCAAATCTCAAGCACAGCATAGTTTACTTCGGTTCTGAATATAGAGAATGTTTAGTGGCTAAAGGCATAACATTTACCGATAAGGCATACATTCATTAGGCTGCGGCTCCTCATCATCCTTTTCACTTTCGCCACTAGTGATTGGTGATATTGAAAAGAACACGAAAAACAAGTAAGAACATTATTGTCGGTTAAGCATGACCAAAAATATCTCACACCATATTGTCTAACACAAAAATTATATTTTGTTTCTATATGAAGGCATATTTTTCGTGTGCGCATTTATGGGGAAGGTGGCTCAAAACGCAACATAATGTAGTACAAATTTAATCTTTACATAGGACAGGATCCTAAAATGGAGGTCCAAATGATCCAAATTTTGTAGAGTTCATTTTCGCTTGAAATTACTATTATGGACCAATTTTCGTCGCCACATATTAAAACTTAGACTTTTCTGCTCTACGAAGGATCAATTTTCATGAAAATCGTTATTATGGTAGAATACAAAACATGGGCCGAGATCGTCCAAATTTACCACAGTTAATTTTTTTATCTTAAATTATTATTATGATGTAATTTTCATTGCGAAGCATTGAATATCATACTCTTTTCGTCGTGTGAACTTCAGTTTTCGCTATGTAAGAGGGGGTTCAAAATGTTCCCAAAGTTTTCATAGCAAATTAGAATGCCGAAATACTACTACTTAGCCACTTTTGCCGAAAAATTTTGAAAATTAGAATTATTTTCCATATAACGACTTTTCAGAATATGGCGTTATATGGGAAGTGGTCGAAAAAGTGGACCGATCCGAACCATTTGGAATAGCGTTCCTCACTATACCACATTTCATCAAAATATCTCAAAAATTGTGAGCTGTAGCTTGAACGTTAATTTACATGGACAGGTATCAGATCAACATGTGGACAGACAGGATTAGATTAATTTAGATTGTGATGCTGAATCGATCGGTATAATGAAAGGTATGTCCATCTTAAGTCCTTCTGTTGCATACGACCGCACTAAGTATATAATATAACTTGTACCATAAGTGATGTAGGGTATAAAAGGTTTCGTATAACACGAGCTCAATGCCGTGCAGTACGAATTAATCTTGTTATGCGAGGGATGATCTTATTCGCTGCAGAGTCAAAAAAATGTATTATAATAATAAAATGCTTACGATTTTAGTAAGACGATACAATAGCCAAACCTGAGTTATTAAAATACGAAGCTCGGCTAAAAGTACTCTCAATAAAAATCCCTGTATAAATCGGTTGCATATTTTTAGGTGTTACAAATGTAAACCAAAGTTTATCTTACTCTTGTATGTGTACAGAATAATATATGTACACGCATGATAATGCTATTTTAACGTTCACGTTATGCTCAACATGACATAAAAATATTATTTCTTTGTTTTTGTAAACTGGCTATTAAATGTTTAAATATTCCTAGAATCAAAAATTCTCTTAATTCAGGAATATTGCAAAGAATATCAAATAAATATTCATTTTCAAAGATTTTCTTATTTGATGAAAATTTATATGAAAATATTTTCACACAAACATTACAAATTCAAATATTTTTAAATAATTTAGTTTATATTCAATTAATATGATATTTCATATACATTTCGTAAGCTTTGAAAGATAACATAAATATTGAAAGTTTAGGATGAGCTACAAGATTTAAAATTTAATAAACTTCTTTTCCTAATATATTTATGCAACTGTAAAAGAGATAAAACAATTATTATACCCCGCACCGCTTATGTGTGTCGAGAAATTTTTCTTTTCAATACAATGACTTTTCAAAATAGGTCCATATATATAGGGACTGATCAAAAAAATGGACCGATCCAAACCATTTTCAAAACCGTTCGTCCTAGAGTCAACGCATGTCAGTCAGATTTCATCGAACTATCTCAAAAATTGCGACATGTAACTTGAACACAAATTTATATAGACGGGTGTCAGATGGACATGTGGACAGACAGGCTTAGAATCATTTTCTGAAACGATCGGTGTAATCTAGGTTTATCTTAAGCGCTTCTGCGTGTTATATTCGTTCGCACAATCTTCGTACAACCTGTACCATCAATGCAATGATTGTAATTTTTATGAAATATAATTTCTTGCCAAATGATAATTGCTGCTTAATGGTTTATTCCCTCATTTACTGTATGCAAATTATCATCTTTTGAGTTGTGGTAGCCACGCATGTTGACTTATCAAGAACAGAACAATGAATTACCAGTTATGAGCAGTTTATTTTGAAAGTAGCTTAAGTCTGCTTTGCAAAAAAAAAAAAAAAAAAATACCAATAAGCTATATTTATTTTAACGTTCACGTTATCTTTTCACCTTTAAACATTTAATCGTAGCATAATGTGTAAAAAGTATTAAAGGAAAACAAAAGTAAAGGATAATTTATTTTGTTGCTTATAAGGTAAACTTTATTTATATACACTGATCAGAAGTTAATCAGAAGTTAACAGAAGGACTTAAAGGATATTTTTTACGAAAAAAGGAATTGATTTTTTTATATATGGAAAGCGAAATATTAATAAACTTGTTTTACTTTTTACACTCACCTCTGGAGGATGGGTGTATATTCACTTTATTTTTATTCGAAATGTATGTAACACAAAAAAAGAAGCTTCAGAGACAATATATATATGTTCTTGACCAGCGTGAAATTCTGAATTGATTTAGCCACGTCTGGGTGTCTATGTGGTGTATGTTGTTGGCTCTCTCCTGATCGCAAAAATTAAGATATCAACTTCAAATTTAGTTATCAAAAGTCAGATTAAAATTAAATTGCTATCCTAGGGATGTAACCAGACTGTCGTTAAAAAATAGCAGGATTTGTCGGCGAACACTTTGCTGATTGAATGTGATTTTGTCCGATGATCAAGTGTGATCGATTCTCATGATCATGATTTTTTCTTTCACATGCTTAGCCTTTGTTATTTGACTTATGGCGGACAAATGTGAAGGCATGTTATACAGGAGGAAGGAATGTACAAGAAAATAGTATGTCTGTTATAGAGTATTCTGAGAAATAGATATTTACATTAATTGAGACGAATTTTTCGGAGCCCATGGGACTAAAATATCAATGCAGCTCTTGCTCATCGTTTCCATATGCTCTTCCAAAGTCTAATTTTTCAACTGCATGAAATTTGAATAGAATTATTTCCCCATTACGTTTGAAAAGAAACGAGTCAACTAACCAGATTGTGATCTTACCTATTCAAATTCAATTAATCATTGTCAGCGGAATGAAATAAAATATAAAGAATCTCTCAATATTAGAAAATACGAAAGGCCGGTGCAATTAAAGAAAAATGAAAGAAAAGTTTAAATATAATAAAAGTCAATTATAAGAAAAGAATTACTGTTTAAAGAATAAACGTAAAAAAGTGACAGATACACGGCGCACGGCAATTGTAAAC